TGGCATGAAGTTTTGGTGGTTTCTGTGAACTTTTAGTTCACAAGTTTTAGTGATTTAAAAAGTGAATATTACTTAATTTTACATGTTAAAAGTCTGAATAAAATTCTAAATAAGTAATATCTTTGTTTTTTCCATTTTGCTTGTTGTTCACCACATGAGTAATTCCATGTTTAAATGCTTACTAATAGCCTATTTATTGTTCAATCATGTTTTTAACGATGTATTGAAAAAAATGAGAAGTAGTATTATGATGGTAAAATTATTTTAACATTGCCACATTCATATCCTGTTGCAGAGCAAAGAGGGCAATTGTAAATGACCTCTCTGTCCATCTCCATGTTGTGAAATGGATAACTTTAAAAATAAGTGAGGTGTAGACTTGAATGTTTTTGCGTAACTGCATCAAGGCATAAATTGGGTTGCCATGTCAAAATGCAACATGGCCACTGCTATAAATATGTGTGAACTGGCCACCGCAATCGTTTGAGGAAAGTCTGGTTTCTTGTTTTAGGTTGCTTAAAAGTAGTTTCCACAAATGGGTGGATGGTGGGACGGCCAAATATTGTTCTGTAGTGGTCAAGGCCACCACTGGGTATTCCCTGATCCTGCCATAGAGCTGTTGGTGGATAAAATAGTTAATTTTGCTCTCCAAGGTCTGTTGCCTTCTACAAGATAAAAAAATAAAAATAAATAAAGTAAAGCCTACTTCTCTTTTTATACACAATGTGACTCCTACCCATTTGAATGTCTTGCATTGTTGACTTGCATTCAATGTTCAATTTCAGTCCAACCCCCCCCCCCCCCCCCCCCAAAAAAAAAAAAAAAAAACTTATCTTGAAAACTACAAACATTCACTATTCAAATCATTGTGTTTGGGAACATCAACGTACTGCTTGTATTTAAATTACTGAACCTAAATGAAAATAAAATGCACCCTTTATCTTTCTCAATACTGCACTTTTGTTAACAAGAAAAAAATAATAAATGATCTTGTATCTGTTAATGCTAAGTTTGATAGGATGTAGCTGTCATAATTAGCCAAGCCACAAATATAATTAATGAGTAGACCCCAAAGGCTGACCAGGAGTGGATCGTAACATGAGGTATTTGCAGTCACACTGATCATCACACTAAACATGTGTGTAAAAATCTACCTAAACTCTTCCACAAAATATCTTTCACCTGTTTGGGGTATGTTGTGATGAGCCACCTGGTCTCGGTGTCATAGCAGTCAGATGTAATAATTTTCCTGTTAACCAGCTCCAATGAGCCACCTGAACACCATCAGACACCAGACTAGAACCACAGAGTTGGACACAGGAATAGATTTATATTTAAAATAAAACAAACAAACACAAAAAATTAAAATACAGTCACACACTGCCTGAGAAAACAATTTATTTACAACAGAAGCAATAATTTTTTGTACGAATATAACCCCCAGCCCCCTCCGAAAACCACCATTTGTAAGGTGTTGAAGTAAATTTACCTGATCAGTCTCCTGAAGGAACTTGATGGTTTAATCCAAAGGTTCCCAACCCTGGTCCTTGAGGAACACCATCCTGCATGTTTTAGTCGTTTCTCTGCTCCGACACTCCTGGTTTTAATTAATGGGTAATTGACAAGCTTCTGCAGAACATAAGTAATTAAATCACTGAATCAGGTGTGTTGGAGCAAGAAAACAACTAAAACATGCAGGATGGTGTTCCTCAAGGACCAGGGTTGGGAACCACTGGTTTAATCAGCTCCTTTGATTACAGAAAAGTGATGCAGCTGTGTGACTGTCGATGTTATTTTAATGTGTTGCAGAAGTTGTACTTCTTTAAAACTGAGCTTTAACTGGCCAACAAGAAAACACAAAAAATATGTTCATACTGACCGTTAAGAATTCATAAGTTCATACTTTACGTTAAGAAGCCCTTAGATGTGTTTTTTTTTAAACACTGTCAATTTTAGAAACCAAATTCAGTGCATTGTACTCGATGCCTAATATATTTTTATTTTATTGTATTTTGCTTGCATTTTATGACTGATTATGTATTTTAACTCTACACATTACCATGCAGAGGTATATGAAACTATGCACACATTGAATACATTGTTTTTTATTTAATTGGCAGAACACCCTTCACTGTGACTCACAGAATCACAGCCTGTTAGTGAGTATGAAATGTGTATAGGTGGGACTTCTGTATTAATTATTCAGCCCCATGTCTTTAGTGTGCAGAGTCTGGCTTTAAAAATACAACATGGCAATGGCAACCCCCCAAAACCAACATCATTTTGGCTTCAGTTCTGATTAATAGAAAAAGGCAGAGACACTTATTCTTTGTTAACATCAATCGTCAATCGGGACCTTTTCAAATAAATGACAAGTTGTGGAGAAGGACTCAGTATTTACAGGTATAAAATGTAAAAAATCCACAGTCTTATGAATTTAAGGTTTTTTTTTTATACAGTATTATTGTAAGTTGGAATATCATGTGGTTTACAGGATTCTAATGGTTTTAATTTAATTGCAAACAAAATCATTTTTTGTCAGTCAGGACCTTCACTGAACTGTTTTTCAGTTGTGTATGATATGTTTTAAGAGTACCAAAGCTAATAGGGAAAAAAGTGGTTCTCCTCTTTGTTTTACTTTTTTGTGTGTTGTGGTTAAGTTCGTCTTTACCCCTCTGACATCATGAATGTCTCTGGACTGATGACACTTCCAACATTGTGCAATTAGCAGGTTGCTATCCCAAACTCAAAAGTAGTTACTCCAGAGGAAACGCTCCTTTGAAATGCATGCACACGTTGAGGCCTAATATTAGTTTTGTTTAAAATGACCAGTGTAAATACTCAAAGTTGAACATGAAATTAGATTATTGTTGTAAAACTGTAAGGAATATTTGAAAAATTAGGCTGAATTGGCTGATAACTTGTTTCACTCATACATTTGACCCTGCGCTAGTTTCAGTTTGTCTAACCTCAGGCATCCATCCATCCATCCATTATTTTTACCCTCTTCTTCATTTTCGGGTCGTGGGTGCCCAAGTCCATTCATCACTGTGCAAGAGGTGGAGTACAGCCTGGACAGGTCGCAAGTCCATCACAGGGCCACATGTAGACAAACAACCATTCACTCTCTCACTCACACCTAGGGACAATTTAGAGTTACCAATCAGCCTAACATGCGTGTTTTTGGTCTGTGGGAGGAAACCGGAGTGCCCAGAAAACCCACACATGCACGGAGAGAGCATGCAAACTCCACCCAGAATGGCCCCTGGCTGGGATTTGAACCGAGGTGACCTGCTCGCTGAGAGGTGGCAGCTCTACCAACTGCGCCATCGTGCTGCCCCCAACCTAACCCTAACCCTGTGCCTACATACAAATTTCTCGTTTTAGTCCATGCTTGAATTTTTTTGTTTACAGCAACTAAAACTAAAATCATGTGTAAATCTAAACTCTTGGCAAACAGCTCCTTGAAGACTAGAGTTGTGATACAATAACGTTTTCTTTTTCCCCTCGTTTCCTCTCCAGTCTGTGTGATCATAGCATCTCCATTGCGTCAGCTGTCTGAGCTTGTACAGAATTAGAGCATCCTGTTAGGATCTCAGCAACTCTGGCAGTCAGTACAAAGAAAGGCACAGCAAAACATTTCCCTCACATGAGCCTCTGCCAAATAAGCACGAGCTGATCTCATAAAACGGAGCATTTTTACTTATTTTAGTGGCTGTACTGGAACCAAGTTCAAAGCAAACTTGTGATTTGTGGTTGCTTTCTCAGGAGAGGAGGCAAGCTCTGTTGGCAGTAAGACAAGTTGCTGATTGTTCGACTCTCCACGGGCCCATCAGATGGAGATGGAGAGTACTGCTGGACAACATTTGTCTGAAAGTACTTGGAGATTACCGAGCTGAACACATTAAGACGAACCACACGAACAGCATCACTCACCTGCTAGGGAGTTTGATAGCAGCAAGTGGGAGAGGAAAGTGCAACATACTCCATTTGCTCGCAGTCTCCAGATCTAAATTGATGCTAAAAATTGCAGTGTGTTTATAGAATCAGCTCTGAGAGTGTCTGCAAAAATATTGAGTGCCTGTGCATCATATACAGGACACACCATTATGAATCTATTTGAGGATGGTAAGCAGGATGAGGACCTAGATGTTGAAAAGAGCAGGCAGGCATAAATCAAAGTATTAAATATAAATTCACTATATGGTGAATATTTCATTTAATAAAACATTTCAAACATGGGTAACCGGCTTCTATTTTTCTGTTTCCTGTTGTTTCCATCTCTTTTTTTTCTTTTTCTGGTTTTACAGCCCACCATTAAATGGTTTAAGCTGAATTAATGTTCTCTTAACTGAATGTTTAAAGAAAAACTCTTAAAAACTTAAAATAATCTTAATGACTGTTTATCTATTTATTTGAATAGGAAATATTGAAGCATTTTACCAGGAATTTGCTTTGGGCCAATTTTCATTTTTATATTTGAGGCACAGAAAACTTTTAAACATTTCTTCTAGTTTGCATGTAGATGTCCTAAAGTTCAAGCAGAGCTCGCACACTGACTCTAAAGTTACTGTACTGTAGTTCTTTTGAAGAATTAAATAAAAGTACAATACTAAAAATAATAAAAAAAACTTTTTTTTTGGATTAATACACATCCAGATAGGTTCCTCTTCAAAAGTTAAACATACAAATTCAACGACAGAAAAAATGTTATTGGTCTCAATTATTCAAACTTTAAGAGTAACTAGAAACATGTAAAATGTTGTCTAGTTCTCTAGATGCTAATTCTCTACACACCAAAGACGCCATTAAATCTCACACAAGTCAAGATTTGTGATTTTAGGAATTTAGACTAATTGACCATTTTTCATTGCCGACTCAAAGCTGAGGGAGCTCGTTGGCTTAATGCTTGAGTGACTCGGCCTGCTCACTTGCATTTTGTTGTTGTTGTTATCACTGATCTGGCCAACTTGCTTTTTCTTTTGTCCTCTTTCTTTCAGAATGCAGCAGAGGGACCTACTGAGCATGTGCAGAAGGGCGCTGCTGCTTACAGTTTGTATGGTGTCGCTCCTGGGACAACTGACCAGTGCATCGTCACATCGTAGCCACATAGGTAAACGAGTTACTCGGTTAGAAAATTTATCCAGATCCTCCTGCCTACAATATTTATTGCAAAGTCGGGAGATCTCACATGCCAGAAAGATTTTTGATATACTTTTAAATGAGCCTTGTTCTTTTACAGTTAAAATGTAAGTTTTATTATCTGAAAGACAATTTCAAATTTCTGTAATATGATACAACTCCATTAGAAGTGACATAATGTTAGTAACAGATGTGTCAAAGCTTCTAACTAAGCGAAAAAAAGAAAACAAAGTGAAACCACGACTCCGACTGTCTTTTTCTTTCGGTTTTTCCTTTTTCAGGGGTCACCACAGCAAGTCATCCTCCTCCATCTCCCTGTCCTCTGCATCGTCTGTCCTCACTCCAACTACCTCCATTTCCTCTCTAACTATATCCATATATCTCCTCTTCAACCTTCCTCTTTGTCTTTTTCCTGGCAGCTGCATTTTTAGCATTCTTCTATCAATATACTCACTGTACCTCCTCTGGACATGTCCAAACCATCCCAGTCTGGCCTCTCTAAATTGATCTCCAAGTTGTTCAACCTGTACTGTACCACTGATGATCTCATTCCTAATCTTATCCATCCTTGTCACTCCTAAGGACATTAACCTTAACTTGTTGATTCCTATAAATATTTGGGTATCTTGGTCGACTCACATCTCTCTTTTAAAGCTCCATGTGGAAACTTTGTAAAGAAACTGAAAGTTAAACTGGGTTTCTTTTTAAGAAACAGATCCTGTCTAACTCTGAATGCTAGGAAACGCCTTATATATGTGACTTTCCGTCCCTCCATTGATTACTGTGACATTATTTACATGAACGCTCCTATAAGCACCCTGCAGATGTTGGATGCTGTCTATTATGGTTGGGGGGCCGCTGCTGCACGGCCTCTCCTTTCCTCTCCTCCGCGTCCGCGGAGTGAACCACCACAACCTGCGGCTGCTGGACAGAGCTCCTCGGATGGATGACGTCACCCTGGCTCCATCTTATGTTCACATGGCTCTGGTTAATGCTAGATCTTTAACAAACAAGACCTTTATTCTGAAGGACTTCTTCACCTCCCGTGGTCTGGATTTTTTATTCATTACTGAAACATGGATAACTGCCGGTGAGTCCAGTGCTTTTTGTGAACTCCTGCCACCAAACTGTGCATACTTCAGCTCTCCAAGGACGACGGGTCGTGGAGGAGGAATAGCGACTGTTTACAGGAAGAGCTATTTCTGTAAACAAATCACACCTTTAACGTGTTATTCCAGCTTTGAGTTCAACTTGTTTGAGCTCGGATCTTCACAACCCGTACTGTGTGCTGTTTTATACAGACCTCCAAAATACAATAAGGACTTTCTGACAGACTTTGCAGATTTTTTGGCTGGAGTCTTGCCTAAATATGACAGGATCTTAATAGTTGGAGATTTCAACATAGCCGTGTGCTGTGCTGATAAACCGTTGGTCAAAGAGTTTTTACAGCTGATAGACTCTTTTAATTTGCTTCAGTTTGTGTCTGATCCAACACAAGAATGTGGCCACACCTTAGACCTTGTGTTAGCTCACGGTTTTAATGTTTCTAATATGGAAGTTTGTGATGCTGCCTTTTCAGACCACATGCCTGTTGTGTTTGACATGCCACTCGTCTGTCGCTCAGTCAAACCTCGCGCTCCTGCACAGCCCCGTTGGGTCATTAACTCCTCCACTGCTTCTCAGTTCTCTGCAGCTTTTAGTTCTGCCATCAGCCCCACAGACCCTGTGGGTCTTCATTCAGATATCGATGCTCTCTCATCTAATTTTAACTCAGCCTGTCAAAACGTTTTAGATGCTGTGGCTCCATTAAAAACAAGAGCTTCCAGACCAAAGCCTGACCCCTGGGCTGATGAGGTCACACGATCTGCCAGACGCCAGTGCAGGAGAGCAGAGCGGAAGTGGAAGAAGGACAAACTACAGGTGTCTTTCCAAGCTCTGAGGGACAGCTGGCGCTTCTATCAGTCCACTGTTAGAGCTGCAAAAAACAAATATTTCTCTGACATCATCTCCTCCAACTCCAGCAATCCACGTGTGCTTTTTAAAACAATCACCTCTGTTCTTAACGCCCCACAATCAGCCAGCCCAGAGAACTCCACTGAAATGTGTGACAACTTCCTGAGCTTTTTTATCAATAAGGTTTCAAGCATTAGAGCTCTCATAAGCCCTCCTTCTTACGACCCCTCCGTCTCCGTCACACGCTCTGCTGTCTTCAGTCAGTTTGAGCTCGTCACCCTGTCTTCCTTAACTGACATCACTGGTCGTATGAAACCTGCTGGATCCCCAAATGATCCCATCCCACCTCGTCTTTTTAAAGAGGTTTTTCACACCGTGGCTTCTCATGTGTCCCAAATTATAAATGACAGCTTGGCATGTGGACAGGTACCAGCGAGCTTTAAACATGCAGTTGTGACACCACTGATTAAAAAACCTAGCCTAGACCCCACAGTAATGTCCAACTTTAGACCCATCTCAAAACTGCCCTTCATATCTAAGATCTTGGAGAAAATTGTTTACAATCAGTTAACATCATACTTAAACGACCACAACCTTCTTGAACAGTTTCAATCTGGCTTTAAAACTCACCACAGCACTGAGTCTGCGCTGCTGAAAGTCTTCAACGACATTCTTTTAGCCGCAGACTCTGGTGACTGTGTAGTTTTAATGTTGTTGGACTTGACTGCTGCCTTCGACACAGTAGACCATCACATCCTCCTGTCTCGTCTGGAGAACTGGGTGGGCATTCAGGGTCCTGCTCTACAGTGGTTCAGATCCTATTTGACAGAAAGAAACTTCTGCGTGCGCATTGGTGCTGTGGAGTCCTCTGTAGCCCCTCTCACTTGTGGAGTACCTCAGGGTTCTATACTTGGCCCTCTTCTGTTTTCCCTGTATCTACTCCCTCTGGGACATCTTCTCCGGAAACATGGCATTTCTTTTCATTTTTATGCTGATGACAGCCAAATCTATGTTCCGTTAAAACAGGGCAAACACCATTCCTTGAAACAACTCCTGGGGTGTATGGCAGAAGTCAGAGCATGGATGTCACTAAACTTCTTACATTTTAATGACAAAAAGACAGAGGTCTTGTTGTTTAAGCCTAGTGAAGGCTCCAATATCCATGTTGATCTGGGTCCTTTAACAGAACATCTGACTGAGACAGCAACTAACCTGGGCGTGAGGCTGGACAGTGACTTCAAACTTGACACACAGATTAAATCAGTGATCAAGTCCAGCTTCTTTCATTTGAGACAACTGGCCAAGGTCAAACCATTTCTGTCACAACATCATTTTCAGATCTTAATCCATGCTTTCATCACAACTCGCCTGGATTACTGTAATTCTCTTTATGTCGGTCTGAGCCAGTCATTACTGACTCGACTTCAGCTGGTTCAGAACGCAGCTGCCCGCCTTTTAACTGGTACCAAAAAACGAGAACACATCACCCCTGTTTTAGAATCACTACATTGGCTCCCGGTTCGCTTCAGGATTAATTTTAAGGTTCTTTTATTTGTTTTCAAATGTCTTCATGGTCTCGCCCCACAGTATCTGTCCGACCTGCTCCAGCTGTACACTCCTTCTCGCTCTCTCAGGTCAGCAGATCAGCTGCTGCTGGTCGTCCCAAGGTCCAACAGGAGACTGAGAGGTGACCGAGCGTTCTCAGTCGCTGCCCCTAAACTGTGGAACGAGCTGCCTCTGCATGTCAGACAAGCTGGCTCACTTCCTGTTTTTAAGTCTTCTCTGAAGACACATCTTTTCTCTTTGGCTTTTACTTCAGTTTGAAATGTTGGTTTTAATGACTCTAAGTTATTTGTTTTATTTTATTTGTTATCTTTATTTTATTTCACATTTTTAACGTGTGGGGTTTTTATGTTTTTGTATGTCCTAGTGTACAGCACTTTGGCCAACAGTGTTGTTTTAAAGTGCTCTATAAATAAAGTTGTATTGTATTGTAT